GGTGTAGGCGCCGTGAGCATGAAAATTTGCTTGGGTTTTAAACTTCACTCAGCCGCTCTCTTAGTAATCCACATTTTCTAGGTCATTCTGGCTTTAAGGTATTGAGTCACCAGTCCCAACTACTGTGGTTGGTGATCGTTCGAGTTTCAGGGAGCACGACGAAATCCCAACAAAAAGGAAAAGGGAAAGAAGATCGATGCCAATCAAAATTGGGTGAGTGAAGGGGAACGTATCACTGGCAAAAGCAGTATGATAAATACGGCCGATAGATGTAATCAATGTGGTTGATTTCTTACAGTATGAATAAGCCAGAGAAGTGATGAGACACCAGAGCATATCCATCGAAGGAAGAATGAATTACACTGCTGTGCGTCTAATATTTATAGTATGGATCAGTAATGGCCGTCGCAAATTTTTGCCCCAATCTGGCGAGATCATCGACAGAGTGAAGCCGATGCCTGTTCATTGGTGCTTGGCGACTGGGGCTCTAGCGCTGTTGTAATGGGTTTTTGATGAACACGAACTGCGCAGTTCGTGTCGTTAGCCCATCAGTTTTGGAATGCAGTGCTCCTCGTCGCAGTGGAGTGACTAGTCGGTGGAACATCATGACGAAGCCGAAAGAAAAGTGTGACCAGGTAGCTGTATGCTGTCTACCCGAGTGGGTGTTCGGGATCAATCAGATGTCTTACTTGACACCGTCTGGCTATGAAAGGAATCAGCTCTTGCACGACATGATCTCTTTGTTCCGGGTTGTAGCTTTTTCATTTGGCAAAAAGGATTATTTCTTTTACTGACATTTTCGTTGGATTAGTGATATTGGGTTTCTATTGATCTCAACTCATGGGACCGGAGCACAGTTAAGTAACCGAAGCGAACCAAGCTGCAGAAAGGTGTGAGCAATTCAATCGCTGGTGTTGCTATATCATTTAAGATAGGAAAATCCGTCAACAACGACAGTCAATTGGGGAGATTCGTCACTTCTTGATGAATATGTTACGTGGTGAGGATACAATGCCCATTTGCTCTTTGGTAGCTGTCTTGGTAAGAAAGACAGGGAGACAGATTCAACGCATCGAGAGGATGCGCGAATTTAACAAACCTTGATCATAAAGGAAAATGTAGTCAATGCCTCAACAAATACTTGTCCGAAAACCAGTGAGTCTGTGAATAAAGAACCAGGCGTCGATGTGCGCCCGACATGAATTACAACTTGATATGTTAAGTATGGCCATGCCTCCTGTTGAACGTTGACAAGCGCTTGGTCGAATATAATTTCTAGACTATTAGTGTCTCCGCATAGCAATACGATATGCGATGTTCACCACCAGAATGCACAACGCCAGTCACCGGAAGTAAACGTGCGAGCGACAAGCAGGCACTGATTTTGTCACATGTGTGTGTGGAATACTTTGACAGGCTTAGCTTTTCTGAAAGCTGTCATGAGTTGTGGTATAAAGATTTGCGACGCTAGCCGGAACATTCGTTTTTCCCATTCATATTCCTTTACACTTCATGTGATTACACCGGATATGGTGGGGTATACGAGGGGGACAACGCAAATCAACCATACGAGTTGTGACAAGAGTTGGACGAGAATTCCTAGATGGGAGAAGTATAGAACATCCGATATGTTCACTCCACCTCAACCGTCACATGTATCGCAGGTCTGCTAGAGCGGTACCGCTGTCAGTTTCCACAATCACGGAAAATCCGTTAGAAGTAATCGAGTAATTAGCTTGTTGGCGTAGTTGCATCACCACTGATGGTCGCATCACTGGAAAGAATGCCGTAAACATTAATAAGGCGTGCATGTATTCTCATAGTCTAACGGTCGGATATGAGCCTATTGGCTAAGAAGGTTAAAAACGCTGCGGCAAGAGTACTGTCACCGTGTGGATTGGAGATGTAGCCATTATACGCCAAAGACAGTAGGTGTGTAAGCGTCAAAAACGCTTTGGAAGTAAAGCAACGCGTGTCCCGCCGGGAAATCAACAAGAACCAAAACCGGAAGCGAGATAACGGTGTTATTAAACACAAGTAATCATAGAAAAACCGGCAATACCTTAACGATTTCCAAACTCGAATGAACCCAAAGGTTCTTCAATGCAAAAGCAATCTCTGGGTCAAATCACCCAGGTCGATCCATGAACCAAAATACAGTCAAATGATCTCGCACAGAGCATAGGGAAACATGTAAAGATGTACAGACAGGTCGTGAAATCTGACCAATGGCGCCGACTAATGCGGCTCGAATCAGATCAATACGAGATCGCCTCGTGTCACGACACAAAACAAGAATGGAAGTACGGGTGTTGAGTGACGTCAAGGTCAGTGGAAGTGAAACGCAAATGAATGGGTGTGGGTTCATGGAGAGACGGCAGGGCAAAAAGAAGTTAAAATATGAGGTGACGCCGCTGACAGGAAAGAGGCGGAATTATGACATAGACAAAAATGGGTAGTGAAACCCCAAACGATAATGTCGATAACGAACAGAGTTCATACAGGGGTTTGGCAAAGGTAAATGTTTGGGCAGAAGGAAAACTCCGATTACAAGGTGGCTAGGCGTGTTCGATGATTGATACTTGTTAATATTTTGTGGGAGCCCCGTGGGAGCAATACAGAGGTATCATGGTTGATGTGGTAGTCGGATTGCTACTCGGTCTATACAGAGCTTCACGACAACATAAGGGTTATACAGTTGCGCCAAGACATTCTGTTTACAGCTGTGGTGCCACAAGAAATTCAACCGACACGAGTTGCAGGTGCGCCTGTTAACAGTGCAGCAATGCAGTACCAAACATAATGTTCGGTGCGCACGCGACAATCGCGCTGTGCATCGGCTCGAACGACTTGCGCGTTTGCGCAGATATCGCAACTTCAGTGAGCCAATCAATTCTACGGGTTCATGACGCTGTAAGCCGGATCTGGTTATGCTTAAAGGCCAACGCTTAATTTGACTGACGTAGCAGTCACTCAAAGGGGACTGGTAGAACTGTGCATAGTATGAAAAGGTCGGCAGGTATGACACAGATAGTATCAATGCCTTCGTTCGAAAGACGATGGTGAATAGCCGCGAAGTTCATGAGGGTCTCCAGGTCACTCATTTGCCCCGGTCATCTCAGAACCAGGGAAGATATTCAATAAATCCCCATCTGACTGGCAGCGCTTGGGCTTGTGTCCCCGAGATATTTCGGACTTATGCCTTCTGGCTACTTAGAATCTCCTGCGCAAGAACTATAATGCATGTTCATCTTGCAGATGTCTTACGAATCGATGTGTGAAAAGCACCCTCCGGGCTGCCGTACACTGCCAATGAATCAGTGGATGGAGTGTAACAGCGCAAGCTGCGCCCGCCGCGTAGCTTACAGAACGATCGCTTTTCGGGTTAATTTTTCAGTGAAGGTTTCCTTTTAGATCAGTTCTGTTGTACTGGCCAACTCCTGTTTTTGGTTGATACCGAAAAATGAAGCATTTGACTTCCCTAACAAAAGCAAACGGGCACCCCACTAAGACTCATCATGAATTCGGGTGTGCGCGAGGTCCCGGACACAGGAGAAGAGTCCTATAATACGTGTGTGTGCTCAGTGTGGTTCAAGTTTATCTATTCGCGCACAATCTTGTTATTCGATACATGTATCCTCTAACTTGTTCACTGAAAATACACATGTAAATGATGACAGACTCCTTAATGCGTTATTGGAGTGTCTGATGAACTCGAACGTCCTTCGGTGTTTCGGTCATGTGCTACGTATTTGTCTACCAACCGGCGAGTCCTGCGCGTCCGTTGTTCTCCAATACCGAGTCTGATTAAAAGTGAAAGTCTGGACCTGTGCTCAGGTCAAAAATGTGGTAAAAAGTGAGAAAAACTCGCCGAAAAACAAAGTAAATATAGTTAGTGCTTGCAGTGTTCCCCTACGTGATCCTACATACCATCCTCATCCGTGGAGTATGTCGGGTGTGAAACACAGAGTCAGTGGGGTTGTTAATTATTCCATCTGGCAACACGCCATTTCTCGTTCACTCCTCCTGAATCCGTATACATCAGTGTGCGCGCGCGGATGATCGTAGTGAACATACTGTGTGACTGCGTTCTCGAATTCCAAGAGGGTGTTCGATTCAGTCGCGATAAGAATGAACAGAGCGATGTTGTCCAAGCAGTAGCAGAGTCGCTTGTGTTTACTCTAAATTAGACGGTAACGAGACACCACCATAATTTGGTGATGATGCTGATACCGAGAATGTGCTTGTGTCAGTTTGCTTGTATCACTTAAGAAATCATGAAATTATCATGGAATGTGACAACAGCCTTGACAAATGCGCTTGCTGTTAGTTCATCGCGATTAGACTGCAAGACAAGTAGGTCAACCACCGATCCGGAAGAGCACCAAAGGATGAATGAACTAAATCTGACCAACTCCGCCTACTCACAAATAAGTAAATATGCTTCATTTGACCAACACAAGTCGAAGTGCAAATTAGAGATCGCGCCAGCGTCGGTTGGTTGGCTATTAAAGATGTTACTTATGAGTAGGCAAAGTTTAGTTGTAGCCTTTCCTAGGTCCAAATGCTATGGATATAGCGTCGTGAAAGGAAGTCGTGACCTGGAGGATAGCCAATGTCATCTGCTAAGGTAGTAACCTGAGTGGCAGTGAAAGATAGGTCGTGCTATATCCCGGTCAGCCTGCAAATTATGTAGTCCAGCTGCCGTCCCCTATGGCTCAATGGATTAAGGTGCTGGCTAGTTGGCGTCAGCGTCTAGCGTTCATGAGTTCCATCCTCAGTAAGGGGAACGAGGGAAAGCGCACCACTGAGGAGCCCCAATAGGGCGAAAAGCATCTGGTGCATTTCCGGATTGTGATTGAGCTGCGTGGCTTATGAGCTGCTGGGACGAGTATAATAAGGATGTTTTCGTGACAACAGAGACCGCAGGCCCGTGTGTAAATTGTGGGACGACAACAAACATAGAAGGATACCATACGCAGGCGATCCAATATACTCACCCATCCTCATCGTACAGCATTTTGGACTTCACCCGGGAGTCATCCTTGTCCAGTGTCGATAACTCCGAGGCCGGAAGCATGCGCTTCAGAGATTCGGGGCCGAGCGACCAAACGCGAATTCTACCAGAACCGAACCCGGCGGCCATCCAACCTGGAGTGTCGGTAAAGCTAGCGCAAGCGACACCACCACGTCGGATGGCCAAAACCGATTCACCGGCTTGCACGTTGCATATGGTGTACATCACAACACTGGTCCCAGGGGGTTTGTCAGAGGTGTTTTGCTGACGATAGCCACGCAGTAGAGCACCGATTTCCCGAGAAAGTGCTTGTCGAGATTCAATGAAAGAGTCACGAAGCTGTCGAGAGGGAAAACAACGAACCGAAATGAAGATCGGCAATAAAACTGAGAATGTGGAGCAGAAGCAACTGCAAGTCATGCAAGAGAATCGCTCAACAGCGACAAGTGAGATGGCTGTGAAATAAACCAAAACTAGATACGATCGATGAATTGAAACATGTATTTGGTTACACGAACTCTTCGCCAAACGCTAACGACCGAAAAATTGAAACAAGTCGTAAAGATGCGGGTAAAGTCTAAGGAATAAAATCTGAAGCATCTAGTCGAGACGGAGCAGAAAATAGTTCAGATGGCTAAAAACACTAAAAACAAACTCCCCGGTAAGAACACCTTGAACAAACTTGCCACAGAACTGGTGTACGGATACGCTGTGTGGATCTGGTGATAGGCACGGGATGGAGATACTTCTGTAGGTCAACGAAAGAAATTCCAAGGGAAGCAGATAACGGGAAAAATCTGTGTTCACGCGAAGTCAGTTTTTGGGTTCCTACATGCATATCCAACATGGTGCAAAATAAATCAACTATAATTCAGGCAGAGAATGAAGAAAGACGGACTCATCAGTCACAGAAGCATGATCGAAATTCTATAGGAAAGATAAAACAAATGAAAAAGCAAAACAATTGGAAAATAATTGAAAAGAGAATCTTCAGAGTTGTCGGATGAATAGATAACCGATGTAGGCATGTGCCACATTCATTCTGTGAGCCATCAGCATCAATGGGGAATCAGTAAAAGCCCAATATGCAATAGCAAAGGAGATGTCAAATCGATTGGTAGCCAGTCGTTCACAATCAAATTGTCCAGCTGTGAGACCAAATCAACACTTCAGCTCTGACCTCACTTGTGTGTCTCAGATACATTCATTCATTCAGTATACATGTTAGCTAGAGGTGGGAAACACCTCAGCTACGGTACCGCAGTACATAAAAGAAAAAAGAAGGAAATGCAACTGGTGCAAGCCGGCTGGGCTACCGGTGAAGGATGGGCACTGTCCTGGTAAGCTACCAGCCGGCTCCTATGCATCAAAATATACTATACAAAATTATATAAGGTTAAATAGTGACCTCGTGGTTGGAGGGGTAGGCTAAGAGGGATGGGGTGGGTCAAAGAAACTCACAACAAGAACGCCACTGAGGTCGACTCCTAGCCATATCAGCAATTGTGTCCAACCAAACGTGCTCATCGTCTTTCGGACCGCAACCAGGGAGCTGAGACGCTCCAACCGAGGTCAGCTTGGAAGTGAGAGCCTTCATTCCTCTCGAAGAAGTCATGGATTGGCCACCTCTCCTCCTATTCCATCCACACCCACCGCGCGCAAACAACGCACATCGCGGGAGTCGGTGGGCTGGCATGCGCAACATGTGGCCCAACCATAAGAGCCTGGTGCGTGAAATAACGGTGCTGAACGGTTCATTTCCTTTCCCGGTGTCGTAAACAAGGCGTCGAACATGATCGCTGCTCTCGCGGTGTTCCCACCAGATGTGAGCCAAACTGCGAAGGCACCGGTGGTCGAACGTAACTAGCCGCTTGTTGGTCGTTGATCTAAGGGTCCAGGTTTCACAACCATACCTTAGGGTCGAAAGTACCGCTGCATTGTACACTCTACCTTTCAGAGCGAGAGTGATGTCGCGCCGGCGCTATAAGTGGCGAAGGTTAGCAAAAGCGCCTCGAGCTTTCGCTGTACGGTTCGTGATCTCACCTTTCATCCCACGGGCGCTGATACAACTTCCCAGGTAGTTGAATTCTTGTAGGACTTCCAGCTGATCCCTACCAACGGTCAGCGAAGGAGGCAATCAAGGCCAAAATTGGAAGAACGCTTTGCACTTCGATGGTGCAAAGCAAAGCGCGAAGCGGCTGACAGCTAGTGCTAATCTGTCCAGTGCCGTTTGGCGCGTCTGGGAGCTGTCACAGTTTAGGGCAATATCGTCAGCATACTCCAAGTCAAGAAGTCGTTTTCTTGGGAGCAGATCCACACCTTCTAATTCGTGTCCTGTGAACGCGATTTCCACGACTTCATCAACAGCCAAGTTGAAGAGGAAAAGTGACAGCGGGCATCCTTGTCTCACACAGCTGGAGATAGTAAAGGGCGACGACAGCTTGCCGTAAGCCACCACTCTGCCCGAGTCACATGTATATAATGCTCGGATAATATTCACATATTTCTCAGGTACACCTCTCCTGAGTAGATAGTCCTAAAGTGCATGTCTATCCACCGAATCGAATGCACCTTTGATATCCAGGAACACGACAACGGTAAGCCGCCAATGCATGTGACGGTGCTCCAACTACTGACGCAAAGTGAAGATGTGGTCAATGCAGCTACGACCTCGACGAAACCCACCTTGCTCTTCACGAATATGGCTTTCATGAGCGTTAGTCTAAAAAGGATTACAGAGGTAAGCAATTTGGAAGTGAGTGAGATCAGACTGATTACTCTATGGTTACCGCATTCAGATCGTGAGCTTCCCTTGAAAATGGGGAATATGACGGAGCGGCTCCAATCGGTTGGGACAGTTTCCTGCTCCCACAGTTTGATTAATAACTCGTATAAAACATCCATAAGAGCAGGTCCCCCGAATTCGAATAGGGCTGAAGGTAGATCATCAGGTCCCGCGGCTTTATGTAACTGCAACAGTGCGATCTCACGTTCGACTTCTGAACGAGAGGGTGGACCTAAAGGGACAGCCCACGGAGCGGGGCGATCATTGGCCAGCGAGAAATCTAACAATTCCGATCAATTGAATTGCCTTGCAAAGTGCTCAGCCCAACTCTCCAAGCGTTTTGACACGTTTTGGATAGGTTGTCCACTCTCGTCACGTATAGTTTCACTAACACCAGGTCTGCTGCTGCCCGATTCCTGTATCAGCCGGAATAACGTACGATGGATACCAAGGGCAGCGGTTATTTCCATCTCTGACGCACGATGAGACCACCAGGATTCGCCGTATCTCTTCACGCTAGCACGGAGTTTTGCCCGGAGCTCTTTGCGAGTCTCATTACGTTCGCTTCCAGGCGGAATATGCAGGGGAGCAACGATAAGTTCCAGAGACTGCGAAGAGACCCAATGTCCATGTTGACGATTAGAGTTACCACATGAGGATTTTCCTGCAGCTAGTAAGGTCCGGTGAATATGAGACCAATGAGCGCTTACTCAACTCACATGACAGCGTACTTTGATAGGCATTCAGAACAGCTGGCTTCGTCAGTTGCTTGGTGTCAATGCGCTCACAACGTCGTTGTGGGCGTCCGCCAAAACACATCCGCAGGTCAGCGCATACAAGTGCATGGTCGGTGTCCACACCTGTGATCCAAATCGTGCGACAGTTCTGGACGCAGCCTAGCCATCGGTAACTTATCGCAATGTGATCGATTTGCGTCCATAGTTGGTTCGAGGCTAGTGGGCGCCAAGTCACCCTCCGGCGCGTGCTGTGTCGGAAGTTATTGCTCGCAAGAAATAAGCGGGCATCTTCGCACAAATGAAGTAACCGCTCACCGTCATCATTACGGGAGCCTACCCCATATTGGCCGCAAAGATGCACCTCATCATTAGACAAATTTCCAACTTGTGGGTTCAGATCCCCCGCCAGCACAACAGTGTCCGAGCTTTTTATAGTGTTGCTCATCCCAACACTGGCACCCCAAGACCGCGGTTTCGTCCTGGTTAGGACTCATCAGTTTTAGTGTCCGAGCTTCTTACATGGCGAAGGAGCACGTTCAGTTGGCGGTAGCAGTCGTACTTTGCCGAACCATCGCTAGAGGTTGTGGATGCATAGGCAGCGATGACGAATCGACACTTGTAAGTCCCGTGCGGCATCGAAGCTTCGAACGAGCCAGCCAATCGGACCGCACACAACCGGATGCTGATTGGGATGCGGTCAAACAGAGCAGCTTCAGCCCGGGGACTCCGGGCAATAACAACACCGGTTTGGCCGGTGCTCAAAGCTGCATCATCACCGGATAGCCGCAAGGAGAAAGTGTTGCTGGTGTCACCTGAAGTGGATCGCAGAGCTCGAGTCTTGAGGCGGGTCTCCCACAAGTAGCAGATATCGATCGAGATGGCCTCTAATGTTCGGGAAAATGCTGCCTGCTGAACGATCTGTAAAAAGTTCGTACGTTGAGGCATGCTCATATGAAGGATGATCGAGGGCTCCAAATGAAACTCGATGAACTGGGCTTGGCCGTTTGGTTGGACATGGGCTTGTCGACAGGACAAGAATGACGCTCCGCGTTCACATGTGAGTTTAAAGTAGGAGGTAAAAGCCTAGCAAAGCAAGGTGGAGGAGGGTCAAGAATTGGGGGGTTGAAAACAAGGGGGGAGAAGTGAAGCTGGAACGGGACGGTAAGAAAAAGCGTAAGAGAGGGAATAAGAAGATGGGAAAGCTTGAGCAGTAGCATCCAAACTCCTATCCATCTTGCTCGATGCAGCAGGCAGGGCACCGTTGATTACCCTCTGCGGTGGCCAGAGCATCAAGAAATTGTTTGACGAAGGATTCATAGTATTGCGTGGGCAGGGTACTGTCAGATTGCCCAGGTCTAGACAGGAGAACGATTACGGTTTCAACCAAAGCCTTTGGTTCCAAATACCTGACCGCAAGGTAGCGGGTTTAGTATTTGGCTACAAGGAGTCGATTTTGTGGAGTAAGGAGTCACCCTCACTCCAACCCCCCAACCTGGAGAGCCAGGAAGTGGAGTTTGTCTGGAATCTAACCAGTGATCAATCTTGGATGAGTGGCTCCGAAGGTGCAAAAAAGCATCACCCAACATAGCGCAATGGATCTCTGGAGCACGCCAACCATCGCACCACGGTAAGGTCCAGACTCATTGTGATGGGTGTCTCAGTAATCATTACGATTACTCGGGTGTTTGCGTGATCTAAATGACACCTGTTAAAGTAGCTCAATAGCACTCATCTTATCCTTTAAGATGGTACCACTGTACCGTATTCTTTAAACTAACAGTTATAATATAATGCCGCGGTGTTTGCACCCAGTGCCC